GGGCAAATCTCAGGGTCTTGCCGTATTATTATAGATCGTAAATTTCTTATTTAAATTATATATGTAATTTCTTGAAGGTATAATATGTGTTTTATATATATATATATGGTTTTATTCCCATCAGATTAAATTAAATAAAATAAATAGTTATTTCACGATTTTTCTATATATTTTATATGTCGGAATCAAATTATTGTATAGTATTGTTTTTTAAATATATTTATTTAGTTTTATCGAATCAAATGGTTAACTCTAGGCCAGCATTGCAACAGTCAGGACATGGATACATGAACTCCTGACTATAATTTGCTTGACCTCCTCCATACCATGTGGCGAATGCTTGCAAAGGATAGATGCCTTTCGCATCCTTCGGCGCCAAATTGTCAAAAGAGCAGTGTCGAACACAGCCTCAGCTTCTCAAGGACATGTAGGGACCAAACATGGAGCTTTATGAGCAAGAAATTATCTCGAAGCATAACAACTTTCTTCTCAATCTGTCCAAGAGTTGTTGGCTGCAGGAAGCAGAACTTCTTGGAAGGAGTCAATCAGTTTTTTGGGAAAAATCATATTGAAAATCGGTGTTTGTCCCCCAAAAAATATGATATTTCATAGGTGTTGATCCATTTTAAAAAAGTCCAAGTGGCTGTCTAAAAAGTAGCCATGCGGATGTTGAAGCGTCTTCTCCAAGGACTGCGAAAGGTTGCCTGCGACAGCAACCTAAACTACTCAGAAATGACCTGGCATGAGCTCTTTTTTTTCATACCCGCTGGTAATTTAACATAGCTATTGAAAATGACTATTTATAGTTGATTTACCTATCAAAAATGGGGATTTTCCGTAGCTACGTTAGTTTACTGGAGGGTAATATATTATATCACAAAATAAGAGGTGTTTATTGTAAAGACCACCAAATAATGCTAAAGGTAGGTTCTAGTTGAGGTATATAATATGGCATGGAGGGGGTATATAATATAGCATGGATGGACATGTACTTGCCAAACTTGGGTACCCATAGATTGGATTGCTAAATTAAGAAACATCTGCGGCCGGGCTGAAACGGACTATGCAGCTGGGCAGATACCGGGATGACATTGGACATGGGCAAGTCGTTAGTAACTGGATTCTATAATTCTAAATGTATTTGTCTGAAAATAGGGTACCCCATTCCATCCATTGGTTCTCATCGCCACACTGTGTGGTAGCCAGTTTGTAGTGTGTCTTACCTTGACTTACATGGTCTGAATCGTTTTCCCTCTTAATTAATATAGCCATTTGGTAGTATACCGCATTTCAGACACACCCATATATATTAGTGCATGTGAGGCTGGATTAAAATACTTCACCAACCTGAAATCAGATCGTTTTGAATGGTTCCTTTTCTTCTTAGCCATCATCTTAAGACTGACGTCCGAGTGAGTTGGTTATTATAGTTCAACCATACATGGCATAAAACAAATCTATATCATATTTATACAATATATATATATATATACGTATATATATACACATATGTATATATATATATATGTGTATATATATGGTACCCACCCCCAAACATCTACCATTTTTGACCTACCTTTTTAATATCTTATGGTTTGGGATGATAATCAAGCAGTTAATTGAAAGGGGGGACCATATATATACATATACATATATATATATATAAACACGTATACATATACACAGGCATATGCGTTGAATCAACAAAACGTGGCAAACACATACAGACGCACACACGCAGACACTTCCCAAAAATTTGAAAACTTTGCAAACTTTCCTGGATCCATAAATAAAAGGTATGTTAGAGGTATAGTGGTATGTTCAAGGTCAATTAAATGGTATCTTAAAGGTATATAATACGATATATACCTTCAATAAATATTAAAGGTGTAGTAAACGACATGTTTAATGATATTTATATGTATATATACATAAATATATCACTGATATATCAATTGGAATAGTAACGATTACTAAATTGTATAGTCAAGGTATATTAAAAGCAAACACTAAAGAGATATATACATATTAATATATAATATACATGGCCAGATTGGAATATTACCTGTATACTACAGGTATGTTAAATGGTATATTAGAGGTGTATTAGATGGTATACTAAAGGTATATTAAAGGTATTTTGAAAGTCAATCAAATTGTATATTGGAGGTAGATTCATGGTATATAAAATGGTATACTAAACGCATATTAAATCATATAGTAATGGTATATCAAATGGAATATTCATGATTCTTACATGGTAAACTAAGTATAGATTGTATATTAAAGGTTTATTAAAGGCAAAATAAATGGTAAGTAAAAGGTATTTTAGAGGCATAGTGGTATGTTCAAGGTAAATTTCAATTGTATATTAAAGGTATATACCTTCAAGGTATATTAAGGTTTAATAATATATTAATGGTATATCAAATGGAATATTAACGACTCTTAAATGGTAAACTAGGTATAGATGGTACATTAAAGGTTTATTAAAGACAAATTAAATGGAAAACAAAAGGTATTCTAGAGGTAGAGAGGTATCCTAAAGGTGCATTAACTATGTTTTCATGGCCAATAAAATGGTATATTTGAGGTAGATTAAATGGTATATTTAAGGTATATTAAATGGTGTAGTGAAGTTTTATGCATTGAAGGTATATTTAAAGTATACTAAAGGTATTTTCAAGTTTCAAGGCCAACTAAATTGTATATTAAAGGTAGCTTGATCGTTGTCCAATGGAATGCTGCAGGTATATTGAATGGATTTGAATGGTATATTAAAGTTTTAAAAGAAAAGGGATACTGAAGGTTTACTAGAAGGTATGCCAAAGGTTTACTAAAGGTTAATTAAAGATATGTTATGGTCAATAAACTGGTATATTGAAGTATATGGAATCTATAATGAAGCTATATTCATCGTATATTTAAAATTGCTGATCAAGATATTATGCTTACTCTGTTGCATCAAAAAGACAGACATATCCAACATGTTAGAATCTGGTGTTTTGAAAGAAATACTGTATGATTGAAGGAAGGCGCAATATGAGTTTGAAAGGAAGACTGCACTTCTTCAGAAAGAAAACACTGCATGTTTAGAGGAATGCTCTATTTTTTGTAGGGGTACTGTTTCTTGAACGAAGTCATACTTTGTTTGGAAGGAAAATTGCAGTTTATGAATGAAGGTGATTTTTTTCAAGCATGGAAAGGAACGCTGCAATTTTAAAACAGATTGCTTCCGGCAAGAAATCATGTGTTTTCTGACCTGAGTATGTGCTCATCTTTTTTGAAAGTAATAGTCGTGTACTTACTTTGTTTTTGCAAAAGGTTCCCAACCCTCTTTGACATCAACAAAAAGCTGAAAATAGTAGATCTTTGGGGGGGTTAGCATATATATATATACATACTTAGCAGTTGTACTGGGTTAATTACCACTTACTCGTCACAGATCCCACTGGTAGCTTCATCTCAGCGCCTCTGGTGTTTTGAAACTGGGACATACCCCTTAAAATGACCATACGAGAACTGGACAAATCGCAACTTTAGTATAGGACATGAGGTTGCAAACCACCGGTTCCCCATTTTTTTGGACAAAACCCAGGTATGGCCGTTTTCAAACAGCTTCGCTTAGCATCATCCCATCATCCCATCATCCCATCATCCCACCATGCCATCCCGTTGCCTGCATAGGCTTTCACACAAGAAGTGGACAAGCGACAGAGGGGACCCATCTCACAACTCCGTTGGTCCGAGTCGAAGCGGCTTTGGAAGGCGAAGATGGGCGTCTTCCTCGGCTTGGCAATGCCGGCCATGCCTGAACCGGTGATACATGAAATAGGCGATCCATGGATACATGGCTACCATCGGCTACCTATATATAACTGCAAGCTATGGATATCTATGTATGTGTATGTATCATTTTATGTCTATCCGTGTGAAATACATAACGTGCAAATGAATATCATATAGGTCACCGGGTGAATGATTGTGAGGTGCCTCTCGAGGCACAAAAATCAGGGAACGGCTCCGCGGAAGTGAACCAACTTCCCGCCAAATTGCTGTCTCCGACAATTGGATGCTGATGTCTCAAATAATCCATCTAATATGTATAATATATATATATATTATATGCATAATAATATTCTATATATATTATGCATAATATAATATACCTACACATAGTAATCCCATTCAGCATGCTAGATTTGGCTTGTACAATGCTGACGGCAACCCTTGAGGTCATCTGGCGTTTTTTTCCACCACCTTTGGGTTAGACCTATGGGATTTTTCATGGGAGCCGAAGGAGCTCAACGTGACATCTTGCGACCAGCTTCAAATAGCCGGCGATCACACTGCCAACCAAACATTTTTCCTCTTGACCCTCAAACGTCTTCAGACACTCCTTGGACGCCGGAAAGAGATGCACACAAAGCACAGACGTCTTGAAAAAACATCATTTTCAACCCAACTCCAAGTTATAGCTTTGGTCATGTCATCAGGCATATGATCATCACTAAAAATCACAAGGGACGCCTCAACTTGGGATGGTGGCATCACTTGGCACTTGGGATTCCGGGCTGGTTGCATCCTCTTGTTTGGTTTGTTGAATCCTACTGTTCGTTGCTTGAAGACCAACTTTTCTCGATTAAATCCTATTATTAAAGCATGTTCAATCCACATTTTGCCCCTTGTTGTTGGTCAAATCCCAATTTAGGTTGTTTGAATCCCATTCGTGTTGGATAGTTCCATCTTACCGGTCTCTGATCACTGGAGCCGGAGACCCCGGGCTCCTGATTCAGAAGACCCGTGGCATTCTGTTCCGTGACGACATATCGCTTCAGCGGGGTGAACATGTTGACATCCATGTAGTAGCCGGAGTCTGCCAAACCTGCCAGGGGTGGCAAAAAGTGATGCTTTCGTGAAAGGGGTGAAACGGTGAAACTCAAGATATATATCTATTTGGTCAAAGTTTAAAATCGTTGTCATCTGTGGGCTTGGTCATAGCCCATGCGTGAGAACTTCCATCAAGAATTCAGCCATCGAAATTCTATACGTGATTTCCATGTTCAAAATGGAAAATATTAACACATTCAACATAATTTAACACCCAAAAAAAAACAATAGCCTCAGTACCTTCGGTAGCACTACAAGTTGGCACCGGCCAGGCCATGCCCAGCCATGCCCAGCCATGCCCAGCCATGCCCAGCCTACCACCTTGGCGCTACCTGGAATAAAACTTCTGAGCGCATCTAAATGGGCAAAGACTCGCATGGCACCAGCACTGCAGCCGCTGATCACCACATCCGTGGTATTGGCGAAGCCAAACTTTTTGGTCAGATCGCTGAACAAGGCCTCTGTGATGTAACCTGAGATGATCCAGAACCAGGAAGGTAAAAGTTGGACCTTGTCTTCCTACAAATGTTGGAAACTGGCAAACTCAGATTCTAAGTTGTGAATTTACAAACAAAAAATTGGCCAATGGAACAGTCATGAGTACTTTCACAAACAAGGATTTCTGTGGTGAAATAAACATAGAACTGCGGTTTCAAACTCTAGGGAAACTGCTTGGATCTGGAGTGTTCATCATTTTTAGTTCGAGTTTGCGAGGGTCGAAAAAACCCCTTGTTGGAAGATGTTCAAGGCATGTTTGCTTGGCACATCTAAGCAAAACATTCCAGCTACAGCTACACTTAGTAACATCTTAGTAGCGAAAATACCTGGTGATACCTCGTATCAAACACGAAAATGTCCCAGTTGTAGATGGCAAAAACCTCGATATTTCCCCCATGCAGGACACAAACCCACCAGCAGGTCGTGGGCCCAGCTACGGCCTCGGTAGAAAATGGAGCTCTGCTGAATCATCTTGGGCTCATCGCGCTGGCCGGAATAGTATCCACCATCGCAGTATCGAAGGTAGGCATGGTTCCAATTGTACATCAGCGGATTCCTCCGGGAAACTTGGGAAACTTGGGAAACTTGGGAAACTCAAACGTGACTTGAGAAAAAGAACTCGAAAAAAGATGGCTAAAAGGCCACAACTGGAATGATTCCCACGAGCAAGTGGAATCTGTTTGTGGCTGTCGCCACACTAATCCACACTAAAATGACCGGTGGAATCCACTTGTCTTATTGGTAGGATGGAAAATTGGGATTTCCGGAACTCTTAAGTTTGGTACCTGTATATAGTATGATTCCATGTATACAGGATCACACCATACCACATCATCAATCAGAAAAGCGTGTCCGAATTATTCAACGGCGAGGGGAAAGACACACTGATGCCTAATCAGCATCTTCGTTGATGTCTTGACCACGCTCACTGTCACCACCACCCCAGTGACCCCCGATAGAAAATAGATAGAAGATTGTAGAAGATTCTTGGTTCTGTCAAGCCCTCAAATCATGAAAGGAACATGCAGCGAGGGATTTCTGCCACCAACCTCCAAAAAACAGGTTTGCCAGCCCTAGGGGCCGCGTTTGCCACCATCAGCAAAACAGGCATATCAGAACATCACCTACAAGACATCTGACTCTTTTGAAGACCCAACTTGATGTAATTCAGCAACTATCAGACTATCATCCCTTTCAATGGCAACAAAAAAAAGCTCACTCCACCTGACATCACCGAGATTCGTCGTAGGATCTCGCGAGAACTTCAGATTGCCCAAGGCTTCAAAGTCCATCTGCTCCTCGACTGGCGGCTGTCTGTTCACACCAAAATAGCTGAATTTTCAGCTGAACTATGGATGTTCATTCCTCTAGACAGACAGAGAGAGAGAGAGAGATGTATTGAATCTTGATTCCTCTGGTTGGAATTTCTTTTCCTTTTATCTATTTCTTGGTGGGCCTCCCATACTCTCATGAAAAATTGATACAATCCGAAACTTCAAGCCCAGCAGCTGCATCTGACTTGGTGCTACCCAGAGCGCCCTTGGACCGTTCTAGGCAGCTAGTATCAGAACCGCACCAGCCACCACCCTGATGGAAAATGAAGAACTTCTTGATCCCATCTCCACTACCATGGCTGAAGTAGTACAGCCCAGGGCCTCAGCAGCTCAACCAGCTCAACCAGAGCTACAAAGAGCTAAAATGGCTTGGGGACTTCCTGGTTTCCTGATGACGTTTTTGTTGACCGCAATACCCTCTGGTAATGACTAACATAGCCATGGAAAATCACCATTTTTAATGGGGAAATATTGAAAATCACCATTTTTAATGGGAAAATCCACTATTTCTATGGTCATTTTCAATAGCTATTTTGACATAACCAGAGGGTAGGCCCTTTGGCCAAGTCGCTGCCATCCAGACACTGCGCTTTGGCATAGCCCGTGTCAGGTCCCAGGCGCTGCGCAGCTGCTGCAAACGCTGCAGTTGGGAGCATCCCCAGCAGCCACAGCTGAGACCATGGCATGGCGAAGGCTCCAAGGTTACCCCAGCAACAGCTGGACCAAACGCTGCCGATTCTGCAGAAACTCAGATGGTTTTTCTGCTTCATCTCTTTTGAGAAGTCTTGAAATCACCATTTTATGTAAATAAATAAATAACTAAATAAACATATATATATATACACATATGCACACATTTACAGTATGTCGGAGGTTGTGGACTTGGCATTTCTGGCATTTACGGAAGCTCCAACTTATGGAAGCTCCAACGTACAGAGCCAATTTCCTATCTGAGAACAAGGCATGTTTTGGAAAAGACTTGTGGAACACAATTTTCCGAAAATATTCTGGGGGTTCATTTCTGGAAGAAAGCATTTTGGAACACATGCATTTCTGAGAAGAAAGCATCATAGCTCAAATATTTTGAATAATATTGGTGTCAATTTTTCAATCCACATGAAGAACGGAGAAAAAAAACCATTCCAACAAGAAAATAGCAAGAGCAGGCAAGAGCCATTGCCTTCCCAGACTTCACGTCCGCGCTTAGACCACTTAGATGTGAAATCACCATGCCCGGCTTCCATGGTTTTGCTTTTTTAATCAAGCAATGCTTCAAGATGAGGAGCAACTCTCGGGCACATCTGGACTCTTGTCCTTGACACTGCTATTCTGTTTGAAGTTCTCACTTCGTCGGCCGCCGGATGCTCAATCTGTCAAGATCTATCCAGTTTCGCATTTGCCCCGACTGCCTTCATCGGCTGAGTTTGGCATGTGCTTGCGCAATCGAGGACTGTGGTCATAAATAAATCTCTCCCATCTCGTAAGAATCTGTGAATTCAGCACCTTGAAAACGGCTGAGTTTTCACTCCGTGCTTTTCTTGGCGGAGGTGCAACTTAAAGGCCCCCCGCAGTCCCATACAGATCCGGTGCACATGACGACGGAAAATCTTAGCTTGCAGATGATTGTTCGATTGACAATTCTGATTGTTCATCGTTTTGTAATGTTTTGTATACTGGAGGGTTATACTGTGGCATCAATTCCCAATCAACTGTGGGTCAGTGTCTTTCCTTTGGAATTGGACTATGACCACGAGGAGCCTGGAACCAGCGCTGAAACACGCACTGAGGACGTTGCACACAAATCTTAAAAGTTCTCCAGACCTCAATGCAAACCGCTTAGAAACCCACGGTGGTGGTACCGCAGTAAGTTGGCGCAGAGTCTGCTGGCATCGTTGAAACATGAAAGGTTGGTACGTGATCGTAGATCGTCTGAGCCTGACTGAAGGAAACGAACTGCCATCTCGAGTTGACTATCAAAACCTCCGTTCTCACCTTTGACTTCACATTGGACCACATTCCTGTTGCTTTCAGTGTCCCAATACAAGAACTTGGGGGTTATCATCCAGTTGTTTGGTGGGATGGAAACTCAAAAATATTATGGGTGTCTCTGAAAATGGGATATACCATGGATATACCGCCCAAAATGGCTATTTCAAGAGGGACATGACGTTCTACAGCATCTGGAGATGTTCCCCTGGTTTTTCAAACAAACCCAGTTGAAGAAATCTGAGAAACCACCAAGAGATTGAAACACGTGTAACATGTTGTACCCCTTGGCCAGACGACCTTTTCCTTGGATCACCCACCAAGCTGAAACTTGAAACCCGCTGCCCTGGTCACGACAACACGTCGCCGACCGCAGTGCCTGCGCTCCAACGCTGGGAGAACTCAAAAAACATCCAAGAAAGGAGAACTCTTAGCTGCTTATGATTACCGAGATAATCACTGTAAATTTCCTATAGTATTTCCTCGTTATTCCAGTGTTGCAAGAAAAATGATATTAGCCGCTAACAGCATTCACCTACCGGACCTGGATTGGTTCCTTCGTCACGACTGTCACGGGTGGGTCTTTTCTGACCATCGGCTGAGAACCGCTGCTGTTTCTTTTTCATGATTTCGATGTGATATCACATGCATATATACATAATTTATATATATATATGTATATATATACTGCATATATATATAGATCATGAACCAATAAATTGATGCTTCCCGATCGAGACGAACAGTCACATGCGGAGCCAAATTATACCATTTTTTGTGGATAATTTGCTACAGATTCCCTTGGTTCATGTTCATTTGCTTTAAAGGAATTTCGAACATTCGACAAATGCCCTGCAGGATTGGACAAACATCATCAAGTTTATCTCTTTCTGGATCTCGAAACATGCATTCGCAGATGGATATCGGTCAATGTTCAGTGCCCATAAGTGCCCCAAGATGGGTCTTAGATTCTCACCCAGACCCATTGCACTTGTAGGCTTTTGTGAGTGGTGCATATATTATACGCAGATGCAGGGCCCCCCAAAACGACTTCTTCTGGGTCCAACGAATACGACAGATAGGATGATGTCTGAAAATAATGAGGCCAAACTACTGATGACCAGCACAATTGTGGGTTCCCGTTCGTGAAGCAAGAAAATACTTCAATCATAAGTGATAGCAAAAAAAATACGCCTTGTAAGTGCCATGGTATGAGTGGTTCAGGCTCAATTTCGAGGCACAGATTTGAGAAATACTGTTTCAATTCATGCAAAAGTGCCGGGCAAAACATGGTATCGCCTATCGTTGCACGTTCAACATATATCAAATCATTGGCTCATATCAATATCATATCCACCTTTTTGATGGCCATCATGTCCCATATCTTCAAATGGCTATATGGGTGTGTCGGAAAATGGGGTATATCCCCATGTGCGATTTTAGTATGGGAAATGAATGGAAATGATGTTGAAAAACCATCCAAAATTGGTGGTGTTCCTCAAAATCTAAGCCGGCAAAGCCATATTTTGTCATGATGAACTGAACAATATGCCCCTGGTAATTTGACATAGCTACAGAAAAACACAATGTTTTTTTTCGGTAAATCATCGAAGTAAATGGACCATGGCTTCCATCACCAGCCTCAACTCATCTCAACTCCATGCAGCCTCGCGAAGCTCCGGAGGCCTTAAAATCAACGCCAAAGGTCTTGAAGAAGGGAAATTAAGCAATAAAACGATGGGTTTGAACCAAAGAAAAGTGGAGTTCAAGTACCAAATGTTCGGTTTAGCATGGTTTACAAAAGAAAATTGGGATTCAATCAACAACTGTGGTGATTCTAAACCAACAAGAACTGCCGGAAAAGAATTTGACACTGACAAAACATGTGGGTTTAGCCCTCATGGATGGCAATTCCTAATGGGAAAAGAACATCTGTAAATGGCTAGGGGATGTATTGGGAACAGAACAGGCATATCATGGGGGTATATGGTATATTAACGTATAATACCTAACAAACACCACCATACAAGTTCGTCCCAAATGAATATGTGCCTTTGGATTTGGGAGTAGGGGCTGGTTGATCAATCAAAGGGTGTTACATGTCTTTGCATTACTGCACTGTTGCACTGGTGCAGAAATCACTTGGTCCTCTTGTATGTGGTCCAGTTGCACCCGTCAAAGCAAAAAACATGGGCAAGTAGTATAGGTGGCCCTGCTGCTCACACCAACATATGTTTGCTATGGATGTTCATCCCCAAAAATGAGTTGGTCCCATAGGTAGTGACCCCTCCCCAACAGGGAACCCGTGTAGGAAACGGTATGCTTTGGAAGTCGTTCCTGTAAGTTCTGGCATGTTCGTTGCAGGGCTGTAAAGTTCGGGTAACACTAGGAACATATTATATATATTAATTATAATATATATATATATATAGAGTACACCCAGAAATTGTACGAATTTTCAACCAATGATGAGCTCGCTCATTGTCCACCTCCGTCCAGGCGCCAGGGCATCACCTCCCCATAGGTTTGCATCAATGTCGTCTCAAAAACTGCTTGGTTCATGAGTGGTTCATGATTCCCATGGATTGTGATGCCATTTGGGGCATCACCTCCCCAAACCATCGACGTCGATTTACGTTGCGACGCGCCAAGCTGCAATTTCAACATCGCGCTGTGCAGCTGCTGATGAAACCTTGGCATTGCGACTCTGCACAGCTTGCGACAGCTTGCGCCCGATTTGGGTGCGAAACCGCAGATTCTTCTCATAATTCTCATATATGTATGGATGTAGTGGGGAGATATAACGGAATATAGAGGAAATTCGAGTCTATTATTTCGAGATATATATTTCAAGATATGAGGATATTAACACATATTGACCAATACACTGATTATGTGCATGAGCCGATCATCATCCCACGGAGAGTGTGGGATCACCAGTGATCGTTGTCGCGGTGATCTCCCCATTGATTTCCGGGGTATACCCCCAACTAACACTAAGGCTTTTGAAAAGGACCCATTTTTAGATGTCCATATTTTTAGGTGATTTTCCGCTGTGCGAAATTACCAGAAGGGATTCCCAGAGGGGGATTCCCAGAGGGTATCCCATTCATTCCCATTCATTGCTGCGCTAGACCCCCCACAAACACTTACGCCGTCAGAGGCGCTGCTCCATTGTCACGTTGAAGTGCTTGGAGGCTAACTCCATCCGCTTCTTGGCGAACTCGGCATCCCGCCTCGAAGAGTTTTGGCTGTTGAATTTGCATGAATTTTCTGGTTGGGGTTCAAAGCTTCCCGAAATATCCCGAAATATCAATTGAGATCTTTCCAGGCAGGATGGAAAGGTTTGGAAAGGTTTGATTTTGACCACAAACGAGTTTTGTCCTGGAAGTCATCACAAAAAGGAAAGCTGTACTCACAAGAAGGCTATTGCAAGATCCCTAGATGCTGGATGATGCTGGGATTTGTGCCATCTTCATGAGCCTTAGACTTAGAAGTCCTCAACAGCTGAACATAGAATACATTTGAAACCACCAGGCAGACAGGTCCGTTTTCGTCCAAAAAATATAGAACATTTGATGACCCTTCAGTTTGAGAGGAATCATGTTGGGTTTGATTGAACATATTTTCCAAACAAAATGGGTATCCTTGGAATAACACAGATGAACAAATATCCGTCTCTATCAAACCAACCACTATAATTATAAATAATCATTAGATCGGGCATACAATCATGTGTTCTTTAGGAGCCCCCCCAAAACGAGACCACCCAAAAATAAGGAACATTTAGTGGCATTTAGTGACATTTAGTGACGTTTAGTGACATTTAAGGGGTTGAAAATTTAGTGGCATTTAGTGACAATTTACTGAATTTTAGTGAAACTTAGTGAAAAACAGTGAAAGTTAATGAAAATGAGTGAACGAATAATGACACGTAGTGAAAATTAGTGGGAAATAGTGGAAAATAGTGAAAATCAGTGAAAAATAGTGAAAAATAGTGAATTTTAGTGAAACATAGTGAATAAGACATGTGCATCAAAAATAATGAAAAATAGTGAACAATAGTGGCAAATAATGAAAACTAGTGAAAAATAAGGACAAATTAGTGAAAAAGAAGAGCAATTCATCTTTCTTATAATTCTCAAGATTGTGGAAATTTGCATGGGCTCGTTTTGCCCGGGCTCTAAAATCATACATGATACAAATCATTTTGTATAGGTGTATCTATATATATATATATACTGAACCATATGGATTTGCCTGATGTATACATACGTATACAGTATACATATACATGAGCCACATGAATTTGCCTGAAAGTGGTACCCCAATAATTGGATAAACAAATCATGGTTCAGAATTATGGTGGTTCATCATCATCATCATCATCATCATCATATCATTATTTGATTTGATTTGATTTGAATTGAATTGATTTCATTTGATTTCATTTGATTTCATTTGATCTCATTTGATTTCATTTGGTTTCATTTGATTTCAATTGATTTCATTTGACTTCATTTGATTTCATTTGGTTTCATTTGATTTCAATTGATTTCATTTGATTTCACATTTCATTCCATTTCATTCCATTTGGTGTGACTTGCTTTGATGGTACGCATCATGTTTGCTTCTTCATCATTGTCCCCTTAAACACTGCAATGGCGCCTGCGACGCTCCACCCACTTCTCCGCGAGGTGTGGCCTTAAGATCGATGGAAGCGCAGGTGATGAAGAAACATGCTGACTTTTACCATCGAAAAGTAGGATCCAAGCAGCAAAATGGTGGTTAAGAGATGTTCGAAGGTGATGTAGCCATGAAAAATCATGTTAGCCTGATGTTAGCATCAAACATGTGGATTCAACATGATTCAACCATCATTGATACGAGAGATCTAGACAACAAACCGGAGATTTCACCGACAACAGTAGGATTGAACCAACTGATATGCGTCTCATTGGTGGAGAGGTGGATACTCTGCTGAAATCTGGCCCTTTTACGGAAAATAATTGCAAGTCCAGTGTATTGCAATTTTGTAATATCAGTGCGGGGATCATCCATACATTACACATTTACTGTGTTTACTGTAAATGCGAATAACCAGCCCTACTGGAAAAGGCTGATTTCAGCTGACTCGCCAAAACCATGGGACCTGAGTTTAGGTAGATGAACCGCTTCTTTGCAAAGCCCCGTAAAAAATGCGGGTTGGTCATGGTTGGTCTGCAAATCAGGTTACCCCGAAATCCATCCAAATCCAGCAATTGTTATTATCAGTCCCCCTAAAGACACCGGGTATCCAATGATATCTGGACAAAACGTCGAGTCCAGGAACGGAGCCCCTGGATCTTCAGGAGATCATCTGTCTTGACATTTGGGCGCCCCAGCAAATGTGTGGGTTTCGAAAAGCGACTGCTTCGGACCTGGGCGCCACTGTGGCCATCTGCTTTTTCCGCCACTGAAATCCACAGCTCCCCGTGGTGCCCCAAGGTGTCCCGAGGTGCCCTAAGGTGCCGCACGCATCCGATGGAGTTCATATGCTCAGCTGTGACATGCTCCAGCACTTGCAACTCTTTGCGGCTGACCCAGGATATGCAATCCTTGGAAAACCACTGGGTAGGCCGGGCTTCCCATAGTGGTCAGCGAGTTGTGATCACTTCATAATTGTCAAAAGCACTTTGTATGACACACATAGAATCATCACCAGAATTGTCAGAATTTTGGGGGCTGGACGAGATGAACCCTGTGGCCAATCTTGGAGACCCTGCAGAAAAAATTAAGCTGCTTAGAGGCTTAGAGTCTTGTACTAGGAGCAACATATCAGCAGCATATCTCAAAAATCTAAAGCACCCATCCAAGGTTTACCCGGCATAGAGAAGCGATTGAAATCGCTCAGCTAGCTGTCACTGGTTGCATTCATCCCTCTGCTATTTTTTCCCCTGCCCTACAGTAAATTTCCATAGGTATCGAACACCCACCATTGATCATTCCTTGGGAGTTTCCATATCATATCTACTAGTATGTAAGTTTACCTGGAGAGTAAATGAATATGTCAAAATGTTCCCTCACCAAAAACAACAATAATATCATTGGAATTCAACCCAAACCCCTACGGTGACCCCCGAAAAAACACGATGAAGGGGGAAAAAAGGCAAGCAGCCTTTCAACATGTGTCTGTTTAAATTCCTTCTCAAAGGCGGCCCAAAGGCGGAAAAAAAACCTAGGCTCCACTGGACAGGATCGGACCGCCCATTCCAAATCATCTTCGCTGTTGCCCCACTGAGCAAACACCCGCGCACGGATGTGATCTGCGTCCATGCCTCACTCTGTGCCACTGGCTGAGTGCCCCCAGGAGGAAAATTCTGCCTACCGACGAGTGCCCAAAAGAACGGTTGTCATCGACCATCTGATTACAATCCAATTCTTTCGGAGCCTGCAAATGTCCATAAACATCCATAAACATCCATAAACAAAATGGTGCCAGTAATGCTGGAAATCGCTCCCCCCCCAGATACCCCCCAGTGCTTCCAGCTGCAAATGGATTTCGGGGCACAGCTCACACAATTCCAACAGGAAATGCATTTCAACTCCTCGGGGGCTGGAAGACGTGGATTTGGGGTCTTTTTGTCAGTCAAAACCACTAGAATCACCATTTTTATGCTATAAATAAACCATCCCCAAATGGTAGTTTATTTATTGGGTTTATCTGGGTTTATCACATTTTAATACATTTTAAAGAATCATCATTGACTGTTGGTGAAGCACTTGCTGTGGGATGAATTGAGTGTGTGCAATCGCAGGGCCCGAAGAGGGATTGTTTGCCACTCCTGAAACAGATTGGCATTCCTAAAAACACATGTTTTGGACGCATCCATTTTAAGATGTATTAGCTGATCCGAAATAGTGATGTGCAGTGAGATCAGGAAAAAAAAACTCCATCCCCAGCAGTGCTGCCACCCTCAAACAGAAAGTCCTATCTGGCATAACCGCCATGCAACAAATTGCCGTACTGTAATTATATAATTACAATAAAGGGTGCATCAAACGAATGAGATCTATAAATTGATTCAACTAAGAGGTTTGCACAGCTGAACCACGGGAAATCTTTGTTCCTACAGTGATCAAACACCTCAAACACCTACAAATGAAACGTGGGATACGTAGGATTACTATGCAAAAAGACCAGCCTGACTATGTCTGAATAAGGATCGAGTAATGGTTTCAGGATTTTGATCTCAGATCCTGCATCGTGACTGCGGTCTCCGACCCAAACTGCCCTGCCCAGTTTCATCCACGAATAAGAACTTCTGTTCTTCCCACCTCGATGCGGGTCACGTATCTAAGGTTCATCCCCCATTGTTGGTTTTTAAAATTTTCTCCATGCCCCAAAATGGTGGCATTTGGTATACAACCTTCTTTTTGGGCATATACCTCATTGGTGCCACAGCATGAAGGGAGCCAAAGGCATTGAAACAACCCCCAGTTTTGATAGCCCTGACACTGCCTGAAGAGAACCCTTGGAATCAACGCCGGTAATGCTGATAATAAGTTGGACTAGGTCACGTCAAAGTATACTGGGATACAACATGATGGGCGACCTGCTGTCAAAACCATCTCTGAAATCAACTGCCATCATTGCGTTCCTAGCGATCTCCCAGGGACAACCTGAGGCACATGGATCTGGTCCGTCCACCCGCCCGGCTGTCGGTCCGTCGGTCCGTCTGTTCGCCTGTCCGTCTGTGTATCTGTGTATCTGCTTATGTATATATGATATGTTAATTTATTAATGTTTTGTAATGCAATACAATGGAATGGAAAGGAATATAATGGAATGGCGCGCAATGGAATGCAATGGAGTTTAATGGAATTGAATGCAGTGGAATGGAATGGGATGCAAGGCAACCGAATGCAATGCAATGCAATGTATGTATGTGCGTATGTTCGTATGCGTTATGTGGATCATATACATGCATATGCAGGTCTGTATACATATATATATATATGATTATATATGTGTATATGTAGATATGATGTGTAAATACAAACATGTTGTGTATATATATATATAATTATATATATATAAGAGGGAGAGGTAGCGAACCTCAGCAAGGTATCCATCTGTACGTTTTGTTGCTGAAATGGCATCTTTGTTGAGTTCTTTTCCATTCAATTTTGGTCATGTAAAATTCACATATGTCGTTATCGAAATCCCAATACGTGTTTGTTGATATCCCAATTTTCCCTGGTCAATATCCAAAATGATGTTGGTCACACCCACGTCCTTAGTGAATGTTACAATCTTTGTTGGTTCAGTCAAAATCCTCCATGATGGTGGACAAACAAAAATGTAACGGACGCTTTGGGATGTTTTGGGTCGTTTGAATCCCATACACAGTTGCACCAACATGTTCTTGTTGGAATCATCTAAAATAAACCCATGGTTTGTGGGAAGCCGCACCTTCGCAGCCGCAAAGAGCCGAGACACTTCTCTCCGCGCTCTTCTTGAGGAACCCGATTGTATAAGGACCTGGAACGCCTCGGAGGTCCCAATGGATCAAGGCTGGTGATTGTTAGGATCTTCAACTGTCATACCTTGTCATTTACATTTTTTGGGGTTGATCATTTTTGTTGGGGTATGGGTCAAGTTATTGGGTACCCGAAAAATATGGGATGGGCTTTAGACCCAACCATAGCCAATATGTTTGTTTTGTTTAATCTGAGATTTTTGTCATGCCCAAATGGCTAGAGGGTGAGCTTACCCTTCACACCACAACTCCAAAATACAGAAAAAAATACGATACAACTGATACAACCTCTGAAGCAAAGTGTTAGTCATGCCGGTGTTGTCCGGCTAGCTTTAACTGCTCGTTTTTTTTTCGACAGAAATATGCTGATGTGTCCCAACAGAGATGGGGATTTAAGCAACAAAAACTCCCAGATCTTGGCGCCGTGGCCAACCTTTACCCTTCAAAATAGACACATCGAAGACATCTGGACATACCCTACAAGTATGGATCCAGCCGTACATTCTTAGGAAGTGTTGGAGTATGATTTGGAGCGTTAAGTACCTTCTCAGACAGTGTTTTGGATCCATAGGGATACCGTATTTCCCACAATTGTTGAATCAACATTTCAGAAACCAGACTATTGTTTTGTTGAAAAACAGATTTTAACAACAAAAGCATCAATGGATACCCTTTGCTAATTTGACCATAAATATAGCTATAGATCAATGGATTCCCCCCATTTTTTTCCACAGGTCCATCGGACGTCCGCCGCATCCAGGGCCCGTTGCGGACGCCCGTGGTAAATCACCTTGTGGCCGCGACCCTCTTTGGGTGTCCAAGACCACCTCTGCAAGCCGCGGAAACGTTGGTTCAGTCTTCAACCAACGTTCAAAAAGGCGGAAAGGTCTATAGAGTCTTGGTGTAATACAGCAAAATACAGCCAACACATATCTTTGGAGCTATGGTTGATCTGAATGACATGCTTGATATGCCTGAATATGTTTTAATTTTTAATATGATTGAATATGTTTGATGGGTTCCTCCCTTCGGACCCCTCATTTCTGGGAAGGTCCACCTTTTTTTGTCTGTTGCAAAGGTACCATGTGCACGTGTAATGTAAATGTAAATACATGTGTGTGTGTGTATCAATCCTTGCTTCAAAGGGTTCTTTCTCCGATCTCATTTTCGAAGTTTCACAACAGGGGGACACGGCACTTGGTTACTTACAGTGTCCAATGAAACTCGGCAACCAAGCGGGAAGCAGGAGCTGATCACTCCCGCGTACCTGTTCGGAATCGACAATTTTTATTTTTTCAACTTGTATCATGGCAAGGTGGCCAAGCCAAAAACCTCCCATGCCGTTTATGGCAAATATAAGGACTACATGGGAATTTCCCATAACTCAACCGAGTAATCAATCGAACCATCGACGACTTGCGGTCTTTCAAGTGTGTGTGTGTATGCCTTTGTCAAGAGTCAATCTATGGATCTGACATATTGTATATATGGAGGTTTCCTAAAATAGGGATACCCCAAACATCCAGACATATTTTTGTATTTGATCTATGGTTTTGGGGATCCCCCAGTTTAGGAAATACCCATATTAATATATTTACCCCCAGCCCTGGGGTGCAGCCCAAAGGTTTATCATGTCACGAATTCTTTAGGGTTTGTTTAGGGTTTGTTTGAGGGTTGTTTAGGGTCTGTTTAGGGTTTATCTAGGGTTTCATTTGGGTTCTTAGGGTTTTTACCAGGGTTCTAATGAGATTTTGCTGTCAATGCTTACATAAAACACTGGCCCTGTCAAAACGCACTTCCCCGTCCTGGCCGTATATTTATAAATATTATATATACATATATATATATACGTATATATATATATCAATTATATATCTTTACACATACAATTTGACTTGTAATTACACCATATTACACCCATGTTGTGCCGCAAACTGCAATAGAAATAGCCACAGACCATACGTTGAACTGCTACAGTATCAGATGATCTTGGCCAAGTCCCAAGAGTCACTAAGATGCAAACGTTGGTGAATCGTCTTCTGGCTCTTCATGATGGGGTGCCACATGCAAACCTTGGCCGGCTAGCGGCTGGATGGCTGGAAATGTCTAGAAGTCTTTCTCAAAACAACGTCTTTCGTTGTTTTTCTCCAAAGAGGTTACCCCAAGCTTGGTTGAAACACCCTGGAGGTTTTTGAGACCTTCGCAAACGCTTCAACGACTTGGCAACGGGGATCCGCACTTGCATCGTAAGCGGCACGTTTCTCCGTATTCTTCAACACATCCCATGCACCTCGCGCAGCAAAGATCTGAGCCCAAAACTTGAAGAAAATCAGGTCTGACCCGGACCTGTTGGACCACCAGGCGCTTGTTTCGGACTTGGGGATATCATGGGACATCTAGACCAAGTGCAATGAACCCTCAGGGCCAAGGTACTGTTCAGCAGCATACTCACCTCCTGCAAAACGAACAGGGTTGTGAGCGCTGAAAGCATCCTTAACTTTCCAAAAAGTCCATCAGGGACCCCAAGATTCACTCCCGTTTTGTTGCTCCCTGAGAGCATAAGATGGTCACTTTTCATTAGGGAATGGGTGGAGATGTGTACCAAGCCCTTCGGGCACCCACCCATCATCAGTTAATAATCATATGATCCCCATTACTGTACCCTCTGGTAATCAAACGTGGCACTGGAAGACCCCCGAACTAAATTAATACTAGAGGTTTAGTTCGCTGGGAAAATCATTTACTCAAATGAGGTATTTTCCGGTCGTTT